CGCTCCTCTCGGACTGGGCAAACTGCTCAGCTTCAAATGAGCATATCTCCCACGTTTTACATCGAAATTGAGCATATGACCTGTCGTTGGAAAGCTCTCGAGATAAGCTTTAATCTCCTATTAGAATCGTCCCAAAATGTTTTGTAGATCAAAAGATATAGGCGTTTGAAGTATGATCTTTGCAAATCAAGTGCACATTTCTTCATTACTTGTTCTTTTATGTTTTATATTTCTTTAATCTTGAGCAATGAACTTATCCAAGTGTTCCTAAACATAAGAGTAAACCAATAAAGTTTAATCTAATTTCATAAGCCACCAAAATATGCAAGAATACCAAGATTGAGCAATAACGACATTTAACACACAAACATGACAAATGTAGTAAAACGCTATTAAAACCAAGTAAAAAGATAGGAAAACTATGAAAAACTAACTACAAAACTCCTAAAAATAGCGACATAAATGACACTTATCAGGCCTCGAAATCTCCAAATCTTTGCAAAATGCGTGGATATAATTACTTCGATTTTGGAATTTTTTGTCTTATTTCACCCAAAAATAAAAATTTCCGTAATTTTTACAATACAATGGTCCCTAATACCCTCCGTAAGTCCACCTGGCTAGGTTCAACCATCCAATTTGCCTTTAAACAGCCGAGTTACCAATTTACAACTTGCACCGATTCATTAACTCAGGCCTACAATGAACATTTATGACAAAAAATAATGATCATATATGGTTCCAAACGACATTATATGACCCCGAAATGTATTCCCTAAAATCTCAAGTCTTTTCGACACCGGGCCCAAAACCTTCGAAATTTCTCAAAAAATGTGTATATTAGACTTCAATTTTGGAATTTTTTGACTTTTTTCGCTAGGAAATAAAACTTGCAAAAATGTCTACCATGGTCCTTAATACCCTCTGGAAGTCCAATTGGGTGGGTGGAACCGTTCAATTTGCTTTTAAACGACCAATTTACCGATTTACAATTTGCAACGATTTCACTGATTTAAGCCTACCACGAACATTTATGACAATATATAATGATCATATATGATTCCAAACGACATTATATGACCCCGAGATGTATCCCAAAAAATGTCAAGCCTTTTTCGTCACCGGGCCCCGAAACCTTCAAAATTACTCAAAAAGCATGGATATTATTAGACTTCAATTTTGGAAATTTTTGGCTTTTTTCACCCGAAAATAAAAATAGCCAAAATGTTTACCATGGTCTCTAATACCCTCTGAGAGTCCAATTGGGGGGCGGAACCATCTAATTTGCCTTTAAACATCCAATTTATTGGTTTACAACTTGCACCGATTTAATTAACTCAAGCCTACCACGAACATTTATGACAACAAATAATGATTACATATGGTTCCAAATGACATTATATGACTTTGAGATGTATTCCCTTGAATTTCAAGACTTTTATACACCGGGCCCCGAAGACTCTAAAATTTCTCAAAAAGGTGGATATTAGCCTTCAATTTTTGAATTTTTTGACTTATTTTTGCCCGAAATAAAAATTGCTGAAATGTTTACATGGTCTTTAATACCCTCCGAGAGTCCGATTAGGTGGGTGGAACCATCCAATTCGTCTTTAAACGGCCAATTCACCAGTTTACAACTTGCACCGATTTATCGGTTTACAACGGCCAATTTAATTAACTTGCTCCGAACCCGAGTTGAACCAAAATTGACCCAAACCCGTTTTAACCCGTCAAAACCCGAAAATTAACATGACTTGTTACTAACCTGAGCTGAATTCAACCCGACCCGTTCCTAACACGACCCGAATTTAACCCAACCTGTTACAAACCCGACCCGAAAGCAACAACCCGACTTATTATTGACCTGACCCAAATTAAACCTGACTTGTTATTGACCTGACTCGAATTTTACCAGGCCTATCGCTTATCCGACCCAAAAATTCAACCCGATCTGTTACTTACTCGACTCGAAATTAACATGACTTGTTATTAACCCGGCCTACCCAAATTATTCCTGACCTGATTTCAAATCACCTTAATTGCAATTTAGACCACCTTATTATTGTTGATTAAAGTATTTTGTCTAGGGAGACCAAGTCGGTCCAGGCCAGCAAAAGAAAGGAGCATCATCCTCAAATTTAAGAGTTAAATATAGTATATATTTGTTGTATGGTCAAAGGAGATAATTATCTTCCTAAATTATAGACTATATTTCCCTAGTATATTGCCATAAATATTATAGTTAAAGGAAATAATTAGCTTGATAAAAAATATAATTATTTATTTATAGTTAGTTGAATCCGAATACGACCAGACTTGGAAATGGCCCGACCTGATTGTAACCTGCAAATTATTGACTTGAACATAACTCGACTTGAATTCGAGAATGATCCGACTTGGAAATGACCCAACCTGGTTATAACCCGCAAATTATTGACTTGAATCGAACCCGACTTAAACCCGAGAATGACCCGACTTAAAAATGACTCGACCTGATTATAACCCGCAAATTATCGACTTGAACCGAACCCAACTCAAACCCGAGAATTACCCTAACCCGTTTTAACCTGTGAAAATCTGAATTAAACCCGACCTATTGTTCACCCGATCCGAATGTAACTCGACATGTTATTAACCCGACCTAAACTCAACCCAAACCTGATAAGAAATATGACCCGACGTGACCCGACTCAAGCATGACCCAACCCAAAACCGACCCGCATAGGTTATGCTATTAATCCAAATTGACCCGACCTAAGTTGATCCGACCCGCTCTTACCCGACCAAAACCGACCCATTTATCCGAATTGATAGCTCAAGTGTTGATCATACTTTCTCTAAAATAAATACAAAATACATTAATTATTGATGGATAAAAGAGTTAATTGGGGGGTTGCACAAGAGAAATCGGTGAAGGTATCTACACAACTATACCTCATAATTGAGTTACTTTAACCACAATCATTCAAAGATCAGACAATGAAAGTAGCATTAATTGTAATAATATAGAGTAGATATTGCCAATCAAACGAGTGTCTTAGAAAGCATGAAAAGTACCTTAGAATTATAATTCGAGGTGGGGGAATACTACAAGCTAACTTTGTACATAATGTTAATTTATTGTTGATGAGAAAAGAGTACTTTAAATTAGGACAATCAAACCACCTATATAAGTAACACGTAACATGGACTAATTAGACAATTAGTAATTACACATCACTTTATACAACTTTCTGAAGTGTATAAAACTGAATATTTCAAGTGCCCATAAAAGGCCCCATCCATGTTCTTTTTGCCCAACTAAATCCAAATCTCATGATCATGTCACATGTTCATCATATGATATGTATTGATAACTGAAAATTTCATGGTTGAAGAGATTATTTGATAATCTATACATATTTACATAAAAGGGAATTCTTTCTATTAAAAGTTTATAATTTCTTATGGACAATCTTTAATGTTATATTTGAGATGTTGAAGTGGAATGATATCTCTTGATATACTTTCAAACCTTACCTCAGTGCTTGTTTTAAGACGAAATTTTTTGAAATATTTTTTGGGTATAGAAGTGTTCTGATTAATCGGATCGTTTTTGTTTCAACGAAAGTATACTCTCGACATTATTATTTCTAAAGTAATGTAAGTTTGTTGGGAGCTAAGCCGAGTGGGTTTCCTATCAAGCATAATCATAAGATCAGCCTAGCTAATGGGGAGCCAAGTGCAGACCCAAAGTTATCGTAAACTTGTGGGTCGATTAATCTATCTTGCGGTCACTCGTCTAGATTTGAAATACTCGGTTCATAATTTGTTTCAGTTCATGCAAGAGCCTCAAAGTAAATATTAGGGTATGATTTTGGGAGTGATCTGTTACTATAATAACTCCGTACTACATACTACGTATTAATTTTACCATTACCAGATATACTAACATTATCCATAATTTTTTATCAAAAAAATAATATACTAGGATTAATTTTACTATCACGTTGCTTTTGATTCGAAAAGAAGTCACTAAAATTGGGGACATCATCATCCGTCTTGACTTTGTATCTCTTCTCATACAGAGTAGAAAGTTTATTACAAGTATTTATCTTGTCAAAAATTAGAAATTAGACTAAAATGATTTAGATACTCCGTATTAGATTAGATCAAATCAATCAATATTTTTTTTTGAGGGGAATCAATCAATATTTCTAATGTTATGTTTACTCTTAATAACCAAATATTCTACTCCATAAATTACACGTTGATAGAAAAATAAAATATTACAATCTTTCAAACATCAATTACGTATATGATCACGAATATAACAATTTAATTATTATTATACATTAATGTAAATATATGATCAAATTTCAGTTTGACCAAAACATCAAATCATAGGTCAATAAATTCCATCCTTGTATAACTTTTGAATAAAAAATAAGGTAATGTTATACGGAGTAAGTAGCTCTTTAATATCATTTATAATTTGATATTCCGTGTTAATTTAAAAATTTATGACAAAATTATGCGCAAATTAATGTATTATGATGTGGAATATTATTTTTTTTCTTTTGTTTTTTCCATTTTTATCTTTTTATATGTAGTCTTAAGGGTTAAGTATAACATTAACCTCTGTTTTTTTAGTTGTATTATTTTTACAAATTGAAAATTTCAAATGAAAGACATAACTTTTGTTTAAGTAAGACCCCGTTCACTTCACCTTATTATTTTCTACTGAACTAAAATTATTTTTACTGATTGTCTATTATATTGTCTTCTTAGAGTTACTGATTTTTTACTAAACTGAAATAATATGACCTTACTTTAATAAACTTTTTCTATCTCTAAGAGTACGCAATCTATAAAGTGATGCAATCATGCAAGTATTACCTCCGTTTCATATTATTTGCAACAATTAGACATTTTTTCTCTCTATTTTATATCAAATTGTTGCAAATAATATGAAATGGACAACGATGATAGTAAAATGGAAATATTAAAATAATAATAAAAAAAAATGACATTTTCAATTTTAGCAAGCTTTCCAGATTCCCCGCAAAAATAGTAGGTGCAAACATGGAGTATATAGGAGTAAACCACTGCTGCTCCAAAATTAGCACTTTCCCATATACTAATTTCTCTCTCCTTTTTCACAACACTTCTGAGAAATCTCGCCATTTTTCTCTGAAATCTCAACTCAAAAACCCTGATATTAAAATGACCAAGAAACCCAGTATTATCAAAGATAATAATAATGGGTCTACTTTGATTCAAAAAGAAGTTACTAGAACTGATTTTCCTCCCGATTTTGTGTTTGGCGTTGCAACTTCTGCTTATCAGGTATTTATTTGTTCAATTTTGTTTGTTTGAATTCATTTGATTAGATAATCTGAAAGAGGGAAAAATACCCACCAAAAAAATTCAATTTTATCACACTAAATTTAAGCTATTTTTGATTGTTTTGTTGTTGGATGATAGGTTGAAGGAGGGTGGAATGAGGGTAACAAAGGTCCTAGTATTTGGGATGCTTTTACTCATATTGAAGGTAATAATGAGTTTGATGGGATTTTTTTTAATGTTTGGATAAGATATATTGATTTGATTTATTTGGTATTTTGTTGTTGGGTTAGGAAAAATTGTTGATGGAAGTAATGGTGATGTAGCAGTTGATCAATACCATCGTTACAAGGTTGGTTGATTCTAAATGTTACATTTTTATGAAAAAAAAAAAACTTCTGCTTTTTGTTTATATCTTACATGTATGTAATATGTATACTAAGCTACTCCGAATCTCCGATTGGTGTTAGACATTGGTACGTGTCCAAGTGTTAGAGTTAATTATTATATGAATAACTCTCGTGTTTTTGGTACAAAATGAAGAGTCCGAGTAATATAGGTTATACATAGGCCTAATTGTTTGGTTCTCATGGTAACAGGAAGATGTAGAACTCATATCTACATTGGGTTTTGAAGCGTACCGGTTCTCAATTTCATGGTCCCGCATATTTCCCGGTACAAATTTTACTAGTACATACTTGGTGTGTTACATTTTACTAGTATCTTCTATTTTTATGTTAGTACTTTGTCTGTCTAGAAATAGTAGTCCTATATGATTGTGTTAAAATATATGTATGTATGAAAAAAAGTTGTTGCATTTCTTAGAATAGCTCTAGTTTGTAATTGGATTTCTTGTTTTAAACTTACTAAAATTGTGTAAAATGGGAAATTGCAAATTTAACTAACTATTGTGAAGGAATTTTGGTTATATTGTGCCTTGTGTTAAGACAATCAATACTGCACGGAGGGGAGTTTTTAGTGTGTCAATTGTTCTCACATGAAATGGTTTTTTTCTATGCTTTCAGACGGCCTCGGGACTAAGGTTAATGATGAAGGGATAAATTACTACAACAATCTTATTAATACTCTTCTCGAGAAAGGTATAAATTCCTGACTTTACTTAAAATAGTTTAACATCATGGAGCAATGAAAACGATGTTATGTGCCAATTTGCAGGTATACAACCTTATGTTACTTTGTACCATTGGGACCTTCCTTTACATCTCCAAGAGTCAATGGGAGGATGGATGAATAGGGACATTGTGTGAGTACTTCTCATGAACTTTAATGTTAGGGGTAGAAGCAAATGAGCCTCTAAAATGAAACTCCATGCTTTGAAACTGAATTCATATTACTCAATAACCAACCACAGAAGAGTATTAGCTTTTATTACATTATTTTCTGCTATCTTGTTTAGTTTTGCCAAGATGAATTGGTGTTCTCACGCTAGGTTGTCTAATATGGTTTCAACAACTGGCAAATACCAGAAAATATTTTACAATGTATGCGGAAGCTTGCTTTGCAAATTTTGGGGATAGAGTTAAACACTGGATTACGTTTAATGAGCCTCTTCAAACTTCTATCAACGCCTATGGTATTGGGATATTTGCCCCTGGAAAATGCGAAGATTCATATTTGGTAGCCCATCATCAAATCCTGGCCCATGGTTCTGCTGCTTCAGTCTATAAAGACAAGTACCAGGTATCAATTTTCCTAAATTGACTCCACAGTATGAATAGCTGTATGAAATGCATTGCTTGAAGCTATAGCTGATTTGTTGCTGTCGACTTCCATAAGAAACCAAAATGATTTCCAACACTTCCAACTTATCTCAATGATGTCACCCCATCATTTACTAATCAACTGGTTGTGTTATTGCCCTGATGACTGAGATAAGCTGGAAACCTTAATCATTGAGATTCGAAGGAGGCCATGAGCATGACTGATTTTTTTTTATTGAAAACAATTAATAATGCTCTTGGTGAGGCTTTTTTAATGCATTATTACCCAGGCCTTTACTGATATGCAATTCTTTTGTCCTTCTTTTCCCCCCTCCATCCAGGAAAAGCAAGGTGGACAGATTGGGTTGGTGGTAGATTGTGAATGGGCTGAAGCAGCATCAGAGAGTGTTGAAGACAAAATTGCTGCTGCACGACGCCTTGATTTCCAGCTAGGATGGTATCTAACTTCCTGTTTCATGCAGTTTGTTTTTTTTTTTTTTTTTTTTTTTGACACGTTCATGCAGTTATATTTGGTTATCAAGCTTCGAGTCAATCTTTGATTGACTGATGGACCTGTATTTTTTTTCTAGTCTTGGAGCAGAGCTGAACTAATGCTCTTTCCTCTTGTTGGAGGAACTGATCATTTAATATCCTGTTTGCCATAGGTATTTGGATCCAATATATTTTGGAGACTATCCCCAAGTAATGCGCAAAAAACTTGGGGAGAGGCTTCCTATATTCTCTCAGGAAGACAGAGACTTGCTTCAGAACTCCATAGACTTCCTTGGTATAAATCACTACACTACTAGGTACATAGCACATTCAACTGCTGATCCTGAAGGGCATGAATATTACGCAGCACAAGAGATGGAGAGAATTGGTAATGCTGAATCCTTAAGGACCCTTTTATTTATTTGTTATCTGTTCTTATCTGTCTTCTTGTTTCATAACCAGCTGAATGGGAAGAGGGTGAATCAATTGGTGAGAAGGTATTGTTCAGCTCCTTTGGAAGTGTTATTTTTTTCCTGTGACTTGTATCATTACTGATTTTCTATATTCACTTGACTGGCAGGCTGCATCATCCTGGCTATATGTAGTTCCTTGGGGATTTAAGAAACTTCTTACTTACGTAGCAAAGAAATACAACAATCCTACAATTTATGTTACTGAGAATGGTATAGTTCTTCCTTTGAAAGATTATATTTAGTCATTCAATAATTTGGCTAAACCAACCTTCTCCCCACCACTTCCCCAAACTTAAGGAAGAAATAGAAAGAAATGAAGAACACATGGATAGTGAATAGATCAACTTGTGAAGCTATTTATATGGTGGCAGGTATGGATGATGAAAACGATGACTTGGCTGAGCTCCATGAGGTGCTAGATGACAAGTTGAGAGTCACTTACTTCAAGGGCTATGTTGCTGGTGTTGCAGAAGCAATCAAGTAAGCATCTTAAATTTAGGCATTAGATGTTCTAATGGGGATTAGTTCCTTAATCACCTCTGTCATGGATGGAGTTTACATGTTACTTGCTTATTCTCCCTCTTCAATCATGTTATACATCTTGTGTGGTTTGTGGTGAACTGATGACTGATGATTGGCATATTGAGATTCTAAAATCGGTGTATTCTAGCTGCCTACTTACTCATAGAATAATTGTTGATTGGTTGTATTGTGTGTGTTCTTTTCACCTGATTTATTTAACTGGGCTGGTTTTTGCTCAACTAAAGTGACTTTTTTTTTTTTTTTTTTTTTTTTTTTTTTTTTTTTTTTTTTTATAGTTTTTTGCTGTTTAAGACTGAACTGTACTAAACTAAATTGATTTATTTAAGATAGATTTTTTACTGAAACTTGTAGAAGTGTTAAATCAGTTGAGGAGAATGAGCCTTGACCTTTGTTGATGAGACATAATTTATATTTTGTTTGGATCCAATATATTTTGGAGATTATCCCCAAGTAATGCGTGAAAAGCTTGGTGTGAAAACTTATATCAAGTATATCGTTCAAATGTTCAATGCCATCTTTATGTTTTTCTATATAAAATATGCTACATGTACTTCTAGTCTTCTACTAATAATTGATCAACAGGGATGGCGTCAATGTGAAAGGATACTTTGCATGGTCTTTGTTGGACAACTTTGAATGGCAACAAGGTTACACCAAGCGGTTCGGTTTAGTTTATGTAGACTACAAGAATGGACTTTCTCGGCATCCAAAATCCTCCGCATATTGGTGGATGCGATTTTTGAAGGGCAACAAGGGGAAAGATGGTAAAGAAGAGTGATTTTTATTGTATCCTCGATCTCATTGAAAACAGAGTATTACAAGTTTACAACTTACAGATTATAACCTAAACATTCTCTAACTAGCGCTGTGAACTTGTGAAGGCTACCAATATACATTCAGCAAATTTGGTTATACTTCTTTTTTGGTCCTTAGTTTGGCTTTGTTTTCTTTGGTGTGTTTTTATATGTTTTTGTTAGAACTTCCTGCCAATAAAACAAGGGTTATACTTGGATTGCTTACTATTACCAACTTATATGATCCAACATGTTTTTCTCCAAATTTCCTTCTGAAAGTACTTATGGATCAGCCAATATATGATGAAGTTGGTCAATGTATTGTCCAACACTCCCATGACTTCTAAAGTTCAGATAAATTGCCTTACAAAATGCAAATATTTCAAGCTATACTCAGAAACATTAACATTGTTGTAAAATCTACATTAACATTGTTGTCTTAAGTATAAAACTACTGCAATATCAACCCTGAAGAAAGTTCTCAAGTCCTCAGAAGATGGTGTAAATAAGGGAAAGTGAAACGCAGGACATTCAATGGAAAACTCGACAACTATTAGGTTATCAATAAAAATATCTCAAATTGCATGATTATCAATTTTACATATATATCATATATACAAATATTATTGCAGGATTAACGTTACAAGACATTCTACAATGCCTACCCATGATACATGTGCTAAAAACCTTACAATTTCCCAGCCCTCAGCCTCCTTGTTAACCTACTAATCACCCAAAAATATTAAAGTAAAAAGCATAACTTAGACAAAGAATAAATTATGGGAGATCCATGCCCCAAAATCTAAGCTACGTCAACTAACTAGAACTACACGGCTATTCACCAATCTACCTTCCTGTGTGTTTGGGATCAGAATTCTGATTTCAGGAGCTTTCCTCTAGGATTTATTTTAATGTCGCAGAAAGCAGTCTCCTGCTCCGCTTGTACGTAATCCTTAGTTTTGAGGACCTGTAAAATATTGCCAAAAGCATTCATTTTCCATCACGTGAAATCATTTCAAATAATTTGATTGTTTCTTACTAACAGAGTTCATCTCCCTTCTATCTTATAATATGATAGTTGACGTACCAGTGTCTCAAAAAACATTCTCGAGGCTTCTTTCCGAGTTTTCCCAACCAACAGGCTGTCCAAGGAAATAGCCTTCTTGGCTTGATCAGATTCCTTTTCAAACAAGCCTTGAAGATAGTTGGCAACAGCTCTGACAAGACAAAACAAAACAATACATATCAAATTAAACATACCAGGGTCAAAAAACAACCTTTTAGATTCAGATTTTAAGTTAAGACCAATGTCAATGTCAATATCCATTTCATTTCTGCCCAACTCAGCTTTTGAGTTTAGATCTGAATCAAGCTGAAATTCCTGTCTTCTTTAGACCAAGTAGCTTATATGTTTGCTAAATTCAATATCCACCCTAATTTGAGCATCACAGCAAAAACACCCACTCCCCCACCCCATGTTACATTTTATATATTTATATATGAAATAGAATAAAAGATGAACACACACCTGGTACGAGAAGACCAGCCACTGTTGTCTAGAATGCGTTTCTCTTCTGGATTAGGCATATCACTTTCATAGTCTTCAGCAACATCGTCATCATCAACATTCAAGAAGTCTGATTGGCCAAGAGCAGATTAGATCATTATTTTTAGCTATAAACTCGTTTAGCACCAATAATGGTTGGAATATAGATTTGAACAACAATAACAAAGCCTTAATCCCAAAGTGATGGGGGTTGGGTATGGAGTTTAACATTTTTTTTTAAAAAAAAAGAGAAAGAATTAGGGACAACTATAAATAAACATAAAAAACAACCAAAGGAAGGCTTTATGAAGCTCAGCTGCACACCTATTTTAAATCCAAAATGTAAGATATCACATCTGCTTGTTTACATACCACAATAAATGTAAACAGCCATCTACAATTATGGTTAAGGTTAACTAACAAAAATACTACCTCCGTTACACGTTAAGTGCAACAAAGAGGCTTGCACACTTCACAAGACAAAAAATGAAAAGGTTGATTAGCAAAAATATGGGCTTGTGATTATGACAGAATTAGTAAATTAAGAATCTCAACCCAACCATCATTATCACCCACTGCACCACCACCACCACCCATGTTCGCCACCAACAACCGACACAACCACCAACCATCGAACGAACCACCTTATTAACCACCGAAAGTAACATACCAGCCGCCGAAACCACCATACCAATGCACCACACTACCACCGAGATACAAAACCCCCCCTTAGACCTACCAAAAACCCCGCCATAAACACCTAAAACCACCACCCACCCCAAAGGCACCACAAACCCACTTATAAAACCGGTCATAATCCCCCTTAATTCACCTCCCATATTTGCCAATTTTGCATTAGATTTGAGTTCAAACTTAATCTTACTTTCCGATCCCCTTTCGCTTTTCAATTTCTAGGGTTTTAATTTCAAATTCGACAAGGGGGGCGGGGACTCTCACGAGGAGGGGCAGCGACTTCTACAAGGAGGGGTTAGAGGTCGAAACGACGGCCTTTGGTGGTCATGGTGTTACCTGTTAAGGTCGCAGTGGTCGATGGTTTGTGGTGGTCATGGTGTCGGTGGTGAACGGGTGATGTTGGTGGTATGGTTTTAGTGGTGTTGGTGGTAGAATTGATCTTGGGTTGGTGGTGTTTGCGGTGGTCATTGATGATGGTGGTGGTTGCAGGTATAAGAGAAGAAAGGGGGCAGGAGAGAGAAGGGGGTGATTATTTGATTAATTAAATTTGGGTTAGCAAATTAAGTAATGTTATTAATTTTAAATTGGGGGCATTATGGTAATTTCATTTTAAAAAAATTACCTAAAAAGGAAAGAAGTTTTTTGTTGCACATAATGTGTAACATCCGTTTTTGGAAAATGTTGCACAAAACATGTAACGGAGGTAGTACAAGAAAAGAACGTCCAACCTGTATCATGCTCAATGGCATCTGTCCCAAACTCCTGCATCACAAAGGCAAACATAATAATAATCTTAGTAACTCCTTAAAAGAAAAGAAATAGTACTACGTAAAATATAAGAAAGAACTTCACGTGGGCATATAACATCAAGGCAGTAAGTACCCTGTTTCAAATAGATAATGCAAATTTTAAGCATGGGTAAGTCAAATTCACTAATCTTTTATATATATACACAAAAGCAAGATACAAACATGTTGTCCCTTCTAAAACATATATGCTACATGTTAAATTACGCAATAATACATCTATTTAAAAATAATGCTATACAATAGGCCAAGTAATTGCACTAAAATCTAAAGTGCATTTAATTAAGGTTTTCTTTTTCCATAAGAGTATTTAACAAACCGACCATGCTTCAAGTGCTACCTAAATTGACCTTGTTACTATTAAGCACTAACTACGCAACTAAATTCCAATTCTTTTCCTTGTCATGGCTTTTTAATCTTCTGATGTAGACAGTAGACTAGCAAAATAATTTCAAAGCAGAAATAAAAACAGAAAAAAGAAGAATTTCATAAACTACCCTTTTTTGAAAAAAATTTATATGAAAAGACATCTCATTATACTAATTTTATCGTATGATTCTTAATCACCACAATAAAAACCAAACAAGCAATTAAGCAAAACACTGACTTTGAATTCTTGAATAATCACAAACGACTGATTTAAATTGCATTCAAATATGCCTTAAGTTGGATGTCCCTGCACATGCATTATGACAGCATAAACAAACAGCAGCAAATAAAGGAAAAGTACCCTGAAAACAGACCATTTAGAGTACAAATAAAGTGATAAGCAGATACCATCAGATGATGAACCCCAATCCAATTCCAATGTCCACTAAAAATACAAAAACATGCATTCAACTTTGCCATATTGATGATAAAAGTTGACTTAAAAACACTTACAGCATTGTTTCCGGTGTCAATATACTCAGAAGGAATGGAAGTAGAGTCAGTGACTATATTTGGGTCAGCTTCCCAATATTGTAGGCCCTCCCTCTCATTTGATGTTGTAACTCGAGAGCTTAAATCAGCTTCTACTGAATGTGATAAATCCACTTTCACATCCTCACAAATAATATTTGAAGATAGGCAACTACCATCAACTTTTAGACCTGAACCAGAGGTATCATTCTTGTTTGTAGTCCCAAGCTCATCTGGATGACATTTGTCAATAGTTTGGTCCGAAGTCAGGCAAGCCGTGTCTTCAAGGGAAAAAGACTCGGAGACGGTGGAATTTTGAACAGCCAATAAGCAAGTATCCTGGAAACCCCTCATCTCTATACTGGAATCAACACCTTCCCTTTTTTCCATCACATGTTCACCGTCTGACCTCTCGTCTAAATCAACATTCCCAGAGACACCAACATCCACCCCTACAACTCGTATACCTGATCCAGAAACTCCCTCTGCTGTAGAAGCATCTCCAATTGTACAGTCTGCAATACACCTCTGATCGAGTATTTCGCCTGATGCATCGATAAGCATAGGAATAATTACATCACTCGATTTATTTAGCACTGGTGAACAATCTATAGTATCATCCGTTGATTTACAATTAATATCAGGAGCAGACACTGGCTCGGCTTCTACGGTAACAGAATGAATTGTTTCACCACCAACTGGAGATCTCACATCATCAACCTTTTCTACAGAAACATCATGCAGAGACAACTGTTTTGTGACCTCATTATCTACAATCTCTACCTCCTTAAGCATAGTACTACCATCTACAATGGATGCCAATTCTTGTTCAAATGGAGTCTCCAACAGAATCCCGCCACCCTCAACTGCAGCAATAGATGGAACAAGAGTCCCCATGGACTCAGTCTCCTCATCGAGCTTTGACCTTGAGATATCAGCATTAGAGAGTACAACAATTCCCAAATTTTCAGTTTCCTCACCACATGCTGACTTAATACTGATGTCTGCCTCACTTGCTCCTTTAGTTCCTTCATTACAATAAATTGTGATTCCATTCAAATCAATTGCCTCATCATCCAATGATCTCAATACAGGGAACATTCCTGAAGCAAAACAAACATCCAGACATATTAAGTAATCTCTTGATGGAGAACTAACACATAAGCCAACAGATAGTTTCCACCAGAATTGGTTGCAGTATAAGTTGAAACATGGGCTAGAAACTAGCAAACTACAAAAACAAAATTGATCTATTACAAGAAAGAAACAAGCAGATACCACGTGTTCACAGAAAAAAGTAGTCCCAAATTGCCAATCATTAACTAACATAAACGTAAACTATATTAACTATAAGCCTGCAAGCATTGCAAGAGGACATGCATACATAGAGATAACCATATAATAATTATAATCAATTAGCATTACTAATGCAATTCCCAGCATAATTGCGAAAAGGTTCAAGGCTCAACAAAGCAAAAATAAGTTCAACAGAGCACAAAACTATCTACTAATGCAATTCTGGATAATAATTCTTAGATCACACAAATGATAGCAATAAGTTCAACAATCCAACCCTTACTTTCATTATAGTAGAGCAACAAATAATTGTTTTCTTATTATTTACCTGTAAATACAGGTTCAGTGAAAACCTCGTCCTCTAAAAACTGTTTCTGAAGCATCCAAACTTCAAGTTTCGTACACGGAGCCTTCTTCCTCACGCGGCGTATATCATCAGTATCTGTTAGTTGCTGCCTTATTGTGCTGAGAAAATAGCAATCAGTGTTCAGAAACTTAAACGTGAAAAATAAGGCATTACCCTTACCAAGAAGTATAGAAGCCATATGATAGCCTTTACTATAGAAGACCAACACACATAATAAAGCCTAGTGTCAAAGTAAACCCATAAAATACATTCCCAAAGTAAAAATATGCACACTATTATGCTCCAAAGAAATCTTAGGAATGAGTTGATACAAATTACAAAACAAACCCACAAATTAAAGCCAGCTAACAGCAGATAACACTACAGAATGACTGCAGATGATAAAAGCCAGAAATCACAATATAGAACTCCTAAATGTTTATCTACTTAGGTTTGGAAGAAATTTTCTTCCAATAAGCAGTAATACAAAGTCTGACATTTATCTGGGTATAGATGAACGTCAAAGAAAGAATCCAACATCAAGCAAGCACAAAAACGTGCCAGAAAACCAAAACTTACTCGCCGTGCAGTACTGTAGAATCATCCACAAGCACTTTCCGCTTGTGAGTAAGAGAGCGGGCTGCAGTCCGCTGGCGCTTTGCCCGAACTGTATCAGGAATGGGCGGAGTAGGCTTCATTTTGAATGTTGTAGACCTTCTACCGACTGTGAGAAAAATTTCACAGCCAAAAAAAATAAACACTCGGATCAGCCAGCAAAAATCTCGAGTGAAGGAGTTAATGCCAAGTAAAAAAAAAAATAAATAAATAAATAAAAAAAGAGTCCACATCAATAGATTTCCAAGGACAAAAGTTCAATACCTAATATCGAAGATAAAAGGTCATTGTCATCAGGAACTGATTCCACAGTTCCTTTTGACTGAGCTCCACCAGGAGACTCAACTGAATTAAGGCTCTGTATTGTCAAAGTACTCTCGGCAAAACTTCTTTTCCTTCCAGATAAGACGTTTTCATCAATATCATCATCCTTTGCAAAGAATTCATTACCAGGAGTAGAGTCAACAAAAATATTGCCAGACACGTCAGCAGGCAAATTCGGCATCGAAAGCAACATTTCAGTTGGTGGGAAATCAGAAATTTGTAAGTTATTCTCTTTTTCGATATGATTTTCTTCTGCGATCAGGTTGTCTGACTGCTCTCCTATGTTATTGTCAGTGGCACAAGCAACTCCATGAGCTATCTGGTCTGCCTTCGAAATTGGTTCCTCTACATCTGTTGCATGGAATATGTGAGCCAAGAACATTGAAAAGCCAATGAATCAGTTATCAACTTATAATAATCGGTCCCTAACAAATTACTAAAACCCAAGACTAACAAACCTCTGTCAGTTATAGAAATCCCAGCAACATCAGTTGCATCTTCCCTTTCAGAGATAACAGCTGAGTTCAGCCCATCTTCTTGACCAGGGATCTTGGAGTCACAAGCATTAAGGATTTTGGTAGAACACGCCTGAAGCACTGGAGTAGCAAAGCCTGATGACTTTTCATCAATGTTGGATTCAGACGTCTCAGCATTTTTCAGGTTCAGAAAATTTTGATGTCCAGAACCACTAGTAACAACATCCACAGTACCAAGAACAGCAGGACCAACAGATGATTTATTATTTTCTGCTTCACAATCATGTAGTGGATGATGATTGTCAATCCCATTAAGATCAGTTTTGCTGCAGCCAGCATAGGATTCACAACCTTGAACCTCCGGGTCAACTTCGGGAACTGGCACAGCAGTCGCACTTGTACCTGTTTCATCAACATCACAGCATCCTCTGGATTCCATGTCAGCAGCTATGATTCTTTGATTCTCCGCATTATCCTGACCATTGGTTGCCTCTATGTGCTTATCAAAGGTAGCAGGCTGAGGTAAGCCAGAGGATGTGAATTCCATGGTTTCAGTTCCAAGTGTTTTCTCTTTTTCATCATCCAGCTCATTCATAGAATGAACATTCCCGTTAGAATGGAGCTCAGTGCCACCTACATCAGAGGGCTCCACAGGACTTGAAGCAGTTTCTTTTGCGGCCACTTCACACGGATTCTGATCCTCATCCATATGATCATCACTGACCTGTATTTCTTCTTTAGCGCTAGGTAAGTTTGGCTCTTCTGTTAATCCTGGAGTTGAAGGTGCCTGGATATTTAACAATATAAGCAATCTAAAGGAATTCACATTTTCTTGAACATACAGATGAAAGACTAAAAACGTAATTATAAATTGAAATAAAATTGCATGAGCATGAATGCGAGCACACAATAAAGGAACCCTGTCTTACCAGATAAACAATTACAAAGGTCTCCAATCCCCAAAAAAAAAAGAGTTAAAGAAGACTAACAGAATGGGTGAAGCAGAAACCTAACCTGGATAATAAAATTATTAGTGTTTGAAGCCAACGGAGGATCAAAAATCCCCTCATTATGGTCATCATCATCTTTGAAAGGTGAAGATTCTTTTGTGGATTCCTGAGGACCAGCACTGGAAACAAAGACGTAACAAAAATTAGACGAACTGAAGAAAAGGTCAAACCACCAAATTTTTTTTAAAAAAGAACCTTTGTCAAAAACTGTCACAATTTCTAAGCAACATATAGAATGTAAATAAGCAAAAAGATCAATCTTCCAAGAGGGACACAGCATACAGAAAGGAAGACTTCCATCAAGTCTCTCTTGTCAATAACAATCCAGCAATTAAAAATAGCAAACAAACATATCAATAACAGTTATTACTAATACTCTCACCCGCCCCACTCCCTTGGTGGCACTGTATTGGAAGGCATATGACATTGCGTCTATGGTAGAAAACATCATTTATATATAGGACGAAGGAAAGAAGAGAAGAAACAAGTTTCGGTGTACTTATATGACTTCCACAATCTCCTAAAAACAAAATTATCAGCTTAAGCACAAGGTAATACAATAAACATATCCACACCCCAAGCTCCAAATGCTTTCAAATAATCAGCATTTACCATTAGTATGGGAAAATTATATTGACTATTAAAATTATTTTAAAGCATAATCTTTATGCAAGTGGATGATAGCATAAATGCACATTGAATCTCTTACTCTGTCTCAACCAAAATTCCACTTGTTCCTGCAGCATCTCCCTTGTCCATAAATAATTCCTGCATGTGGAGCGGTATTGGGTTAGAGAACATAAAAGACCAAAATAAGCTCTATCAAGCCAAGCATATGATAGCTAATATGGAAATTCCCATAAGTCCTATACATCCGAAAAGTTCTAGCCTTACAATATAAAGATCCAATATATGTTTTTGAAACTAATTTCCATCACTTAGGAAATAATCACTAATACCACCAAGGATGCACGGATTCGCCAATCAGGTGCCGTCTCCTGTACTAGAAACGCATCTGGGACGGGTACGGTACGCCGTACGGGTACGCCTAGGATACGTCCCCAAACCGTCCCCATCAAAAGTGGTACGCAAAGGCAATTTGGGGACGTTTAGCATCTTGATCAGAAACGTAACGGGTACGGAAAAGCGCAATTTCTGACATTTCCTATGAAGCCCAGCCCATTTTTTTTAAAAAAAAAAAACCAAATCAGTAGAATACTTACCTAATTGTTGATTTCCCCCAATTCTCAAAAACCCTAAAATTTTCGAACTCTGATTTTGTTTCTCCAACCGTCCGATCTGATTTAAGGCGGCGACCGGAGACCACCTGCGACTTGATCTGTTTGATACTTTGAGAGTTTGAGTGTTTTCTTTAATCTGTTTGATACTTTGAGAGTTTGAGAGTTTTATTTCCTTTTTTTTATGTGAATTAATGCTAGCATGTGCCTGTTGATATATTTTACTAGTAAAAAATTAAAAGTTATTGTAGATTGCAGTAGGTGCTAGTTTAACTTTCTGCTTTGTTATTTACCTCTTTTATTTATGTATTTAAGACATTAAATACCATAAGATTTCTTTTAAGTTGTGTAATATGGATTATTTTTTTTTCAAAAACTTTTTTATGAATTTTATATTTTGCTGATTTTTTTTGCCATAACCGAGCTGTACCCTTTTTTTGAAATTTTGATTTTTCCGTATCCCGTACCCGTTCCATACACGTATCCGTATCAATGCAACCTAGAATACCATCACCCTGTTCTATACAAACTATAACTCATGAGTCGTGAATCCGGCATATTCCCTTTTTTCATCCCCAATTCCTGACTATAATTTACCCATGAACAAATACCTTAAGAGCATCACTCTCCGTCCACCCAGGAAACAATTGCATTTTAAGTGCTTGTAAATTAAGGGTACGGCAAGGATTCCAAAGAACTTAGTGTAACTCCCATCTTCAGAAGATTCAATAGCTTTGTCAGTCTCAACATAATCGATACAGCAACTGCCTTCCAAATTGCTCTTCCTTGTAATAAATTGATCCTGATTTATGATTACTCCACTCCCTTCCTCTACTCCCTTATTCTCAGGGCTCATAGATACACACAAATAGTATAATTGTCCCATATATGACTCGCAAAATAGTTCAGCATGTGCCAAATGTAGCTCCTCCCCACCACCCACCCTTCTCCTAATTGCCATCTCTTACTGTTCTCCCTTTCTTAGCCCTTCTCTCTTGATGAAAATAAGAAAGAGCTTAGTGAAACTTAGATTGCAAGTACAGAATAAGTGCTACAGCTAAACCAACAATAACCCAATAGCCCAAGTGAACTAAACAATGCCATTATTGAAAGGCCATGAATATTTTATACTCAAACCAATAAATTCATGTTTAGCGACATATCTAATTGGAAAAAAAAAAATTAATAGTCAACTTCAAATCAGAGTCAATTTAGTAATGTAAGCAAATAAAGAGATGAGCATCTAATTACCTCATCAAGGTCTAAACCAATCTGAGATGCATCACCATCACCAAAACGCTCTGTAACACAGCTAAACTGAATGAATTATAACAAAAAAAAAAAAAAAAAAAAAAAAAAAAAAAAAAAAAAAAACAATATTCTGAAGAAAATTTAGTTTCTAAACCAAGAGAAGGATACTGACCATCAGGACCAAATTGTGATGTTGTAAAAGTCACACTCTCCATATTGTCCTGGAGAGTAATTTGTTCTCTTGTACTAACATGATGGTCAACAAAGTTGCTGTAAAGTATGACAATTTGTTAAATTCTGCCCGAAGTATCAATAATTATACTATAAAATTTACTTCTTGCGCACTCCCCCCTCCCCTCAAAAAAACCACCCAAAAAAAACGAAAACAGAAAATCAACCTACTACAAGTAGATGGTGCAATGATGGAATACAAATTAAAAATAGAAACCAACCCCTGAAATATATCATTGTCAGGCAACTCAAAATCATCAAGATCAAAGGTCTCTGGCAAAGTAATAGAATGGTATGGTGCTTTAGACTGCTCAGGAGGCAAATCAACTGCTGTAGAGCGAAATGCTTGCTTGACTTTAAGCAAGGCGTCACTGCAATCGTCAAAGAGATAGTTGACTTTCTTTGAATATATCCTAACAACACCAAGCAGCAAATGGCTAGACAACCGGAGAGCGATTGGTACTTCTGGGAACAGTATTGAATCTGTAATACCAGAGAAAGGGGGTAAAATGAGCAAAACATCATGAAAGAATCTGGAAGGTTTAAACTTGCCAGGTCTTAGCAATTAAAGATCTGAAATAATTATTATCAGCCAGATTCACACCTTAGGTTCAGTTTTTTTAAATTTACTACACTTGACACTTGTTACAATCTAAGCGACTGAAAAAGAGAGGGGGGGGAACAAAAAAAATAGGCGTGAAAAGCGTTGAAATACTTTACCCATCCTATGATATACGAAGTTTAGGCATACAAACCATAACAATCAAAGGGATATTTTTCCATCTAAAATATAAAATACACAGTAGTAGTGAATAAATGAAGGAAAACTTGAAACTTTTCATATATATTGCAGTGTGCATTGCCAAACCCAGGTACAATGTTGTTAAGCAAACATGAGCCTCAGATAAGAGCATCAAATAATGCAACAACAGCCTCCCCATGTACTTAAAGAAAAGACAGCGAGGGGAATTGCAAATAAATCTAGGATTTCCATGTTAGTATTATCAAAAAAAATTACCAAATTGAGACAAACCCTAAAGAATCAAAGAAGCACAAATAGCCTCCCCAGTTTAACAGGCTCAGCCTATGGCAACATGAAACACTAATCAACAAAATATTTTTCTTGCAACCAAGCACAAAATTAAGTAAAAGAGTGACCAAAGACGACCCTTCTATCAGATAATACACTTCAATGTAACCAGAAAATTTAGAATAAATAGGACTAGCCAACCCACATCCTTAGTCCTTATGCAAGTTCTCTGGGAAATGGAGGCTGAACAATTAAATTTACTTAAACTCCCTTCAATCATACATAAATGAGAGGTATGCAAGACAAAAACACAAGGATAAAACAAGCCTCTATAAATTATATAATATACAGGACTACAGGATAGCATTCCTGTTCAAAAGGGTTATTAGGCACAAAATGGCAAACAATCATGACCTACCACTACACAATTTCTAATTGCAATCAACCAAAACATCTCAGCCATCCAAAAATATTTGCTGATGAAAAAAAAAAGGCAAGTATGTTCCAACATGCACGGCCAAATCTTTTCCACCCTATATGGCCTATATATTATTGACTTATAAATTTACTATATTAGCACAAATATTCCACCAAGGGATTAAGTAACCTTACATCATCTGTATCCTCTTAAACCATGTAATAATCATTATCAAGGAAACAAGAATCAGCTGCTGCAACATGGCATAGCAGGGTGAGTTAATAACTGTGTTTGAACTTACAGCGGCCACAAAACCAGGCAGCGTGAAAACCGTAAACAATCTACATTGACTATAATAATGGTCCTCAAACTGTCATTCCAATTGCAATCATGACTGGATTGAATTCCCTTCTTATCATTGCAAGGTTGAGACATGACCTCCAATTTATACACATTTCAAAAAACCTTTCCTTACTTGGTTGGTAATTTCCATCCCCAAATTATTCTTCTAACATCAAGACTTCCTAATGATATCCTTCTAAATTCTCCACTTAGAGAGCCAAACAAACCTTATCTCATCCTTCACAGCTTCAACCAAAAGAAAGAAAAAACTTCTTACAAGATCATCTGTGAGTTCTTATAAATAATATTTTTATAGGGCTCAAAATTGAAAAATTGTTACACGGAACAATAAAGGTCTTTTCTTCACTCTAATTAAAATTGAATACCATCAATGTCAAAACAAAACAAAGTGAGACCTTTATTAAAATTAGAACAATGGAAGCTTTTTTCTTTGTCTATAGTTCCCATAATATTATGTCTAGTGCCAGCCCTCCTCCATCCAAACTATTATTGCCCCGGTTTCGTATCCCACCAATTTAGGAAAATAATATTACACAACCAATCATCAGACTGATATTTTGTGTGGGACATCCTACATAATTTCAACCGCAATTATAACAAAGCAGCAGATGCTCATAGCTAATTTAGCTTCGTAAAGATGGAAAAATATTAATAAACTTAAAAAGATCCAATTCATTGCCAATATGTTTCCTTTGGGGGTAAAACAATTAATACTATCAATTACTAACATATAATCTACCATAAAATTCATATAACTACCAAATATAACGAACATAAACAATCAGTTGTATATAAAAAAAATTCGAACTCTTAAATTAGAAAGGAAAAAAAAAAATGATTAAATAATAGATTGAACTAACCAACAGAGACGCCAATATCAGTATCAGCGACTTGATTCTTCCGCAGCTTTCGTTCCAGATGAGCTGCAATCCATATAGTCCCCAAAGGCCCTTTCTTTGCCAATATAAACTGCGAATAAAACATTTTTACTCTTCCTCAATCACTTTAAAAACCCTAATTCATCAACTTCAAGTAACCGAATCCTCGAAAAATCATTAATTCGCTTGATAATTCTTCAAATTCAGCAAAACCCTAGAATTTGCTAAATTAAGCTAAAACTTCAACACCGATAAAACCCAATAAATTGAACAATTAACTAAGCTAATTCACCGAAACCCTAACTCCAGTAACTGAAAAAACTACAGAATCTCACAAACACCATGCAAATTCCTCAAACTAACAAATCCTGGAATTCACCGAGCTACCCTAAAAACCTTTCCCCTCCACAAAATAACATCGAAATTGATCAATTCCATCAAATTCAACCAAAAACCAGCAACAAATTGAGCTAATTTCGCCCAATCCCTAACTCTAATAGTTCAAATTGCACAACAAATTCAACTGATAAAGTACCAAAATCAAGCTCAATTTCCAGATTTCAGTTGAAATTTGAAGTATAATTTATGAATTGAGTTGAAAAGTTGAGAATTTAGAGGACTGAAAATCGAGATCGAAAAAGGAGGGAGTTTTCGACGACAAAGAAGAGGAGAGAGAAAATGTCGAAGAGAGAGAAAGTGAAGAAAAAATAAATAAATAAGGGAAAGAAAGTTAAGTAAGTAAGAGATAGAGAGAGAAAGAATCTAATAAAAAAAAGGAAAATTAGAGTTAAAAGTTATCTTAATAGATCACCGTTGATTTGGTTGCGTGTTAAGATTTGGGAAGTAATTGACGGTTGAGATTGAAGGAAGAATGCATTTTTAAGGTACAAAATTTAAGTTTTAGATTTTGTTATTGATTTGAAAATTTGGTACAAATTTTCAATTAAGCGCCATGAATATAATTTTTCCAAAAGTTTGATTTTTATTAAAAAAAATTGGAACTTTTAATAAGTGTACTTTTGATGTAAAATGAGAAGACAATAATTGTTGATTGTAGACTTGGAGTGGAGGGAGATTTTGTTTTTTTAAGAGTTTGTTGAGAAAGTTTAAAGTTAAAAAATTGTTGTGATTTTTTATGTATAAAATGTAGTTATAATGTTTCAAATTGTTTAAGGTAAACATATGAGGGATATTTATGAATTCATGTGTTATCACTTATCAATTCCTTATCATGAAGTGATTTACGTTAGTGACAAGGTTGTGATTTAACATATATAATCATACTGTATTATTTTTATAATAATAGTTGCAACTAAATTTTGATATAAACGCAACACATTGATTAGTATTGACAATTCGACGTATCGATCTTATAATTGATAGAAAAATTCTCAATTTCCCCACACAAGCATTTAATGTACATTTGTTGAATAGTATTCACCAGCTTACAAACTAACATTATCAGCTTTAACGACAAATAAATAATTTTGTATTAAACTCCTAAAAAATAGTATTTGTATATTTGATGGAGTAACTAGAATCATAACGATATTCCAGCTCATAATTGTAGTTTTCTCCATAAATGTCTCTTATAATCTTGGATAAGCAAAGGTTTCCACACATATGCCACTTTTACTTATACTAGAAGAATGAAGTCGCAGTCGTCTTTGTATGAGAGCAGAGAAAAAGTTAGAGAGAGTAAACGCTAAATTGACAACATTAATCCACAAAATTCTCTTGTAAAATCGAAACAATATTGAAGATTGACCATTAATTACCGAATGAAAACTCAAATTTGGTAAGTTGAACTAATGGGTAAAACCCTAGAAAATTACAGAAAGGTGGGGTTCTAAAGAGGAGGAGGTCTCAACTTCATAAATGTAAAACGAAAAGGTAATGAGGAAAAGCTGAAAAAACAAAAGGGAAGGGTAAACTACTAACATAACGACATAAATGAAATTTTGTGGCAAGGATAAAAATGGGTAATTTATCGGTGTTAAACTATACTACTATAATAGAAGTTTGCATATATTTGTAAAGGTTTTAGATGTAGACAAGTACAAATGAGTTGCGCCAAAAAATAAATAAAAAAATAAAATGAAACCTACCTTGTTACTTGTTGAATTACATAACCAATCAAATTATCTATCAATGAACACTAAAGGTGCATAAAATGAACAAATTACCAAACACTACCCTCCATAGTTTTTTAATATGCTATACTATATTTCATGAATATCCAATACTATTAATATTTCATAGCATTTGGAAAACAATCAGTGTACTATGCGCATCGTGTTAGTTTATAATCAATGCATTGTCTATTAGCAAATAAATAATGTGAAATGATCGAGTAAGGGTCTATTCTGATTAATTGAACTGAACTGAACTGAACTGAATTGAATTGAACTGAACTTATTGGAGCAGATCTGAAATGAACTAAACTGAATATTTTACGAGAGAAGAAAATTAAGAACTGAATTGAACTTATTGGAGCTAAACTGAAGTGAATTGAACTGTACTGAAAATAAGCAGAAGAGAACAAACCCTAAAAAGAACTTCCATAGACCATACATCAACCACCCTCACATGTTTCTTTTTTAATTCATTATCTACGGGCCATACACTTGAAAGTATAGGGAGTAAGAGAATCCTATCCCCAACTATACTCACTTGATAGGATTCAAACCCCAAACCTCTATAATATGAAGTAAGAGTTTTTCTAGTGAGCTAACAATATGGTGTAAACTTAGGTGAATGTTACTTATCATAGTCTAATAAGTCAACAACATATGCCATTACCAGCTGGTTGATACTTTTAAGCAAATTATTAAAAGCTTGATATGAGGCAATATTCACATATACCCATGTCATGTGTATACATATATTGAAATTAACTTCTAAATTCTAAATTTGTATAATTTTTCATCAAATGAGTCGCATAAATTATACAAAAGTTCATATCTAACGAGTAAGTGTTAACTTTCCCAAAAATCATAAAAGTGTATTGCTTAGTCTCGACTTATTAAGTTCATATAATTCATTCATTTAAATCCAATCATGTATTCTTCACATATTTATTTACAATTGATCAAGTTCAACTCGAATTATAATTTTTTTATTGTTAGCTGAGTCTGTTTAACAAACAACATAAAAAACTAGAAGTAACAATTTAAAAGTTCAATTAAGCCCAACTTTGAGCTCAAACTCACAAATTTATTATCAAACCTAGACCAATCAACTTAGAGCCTATTCTCTTAAGTTGAAATTCAATTCAGTTCAGCTCAGTTCAGTTCAGCTCCTAATTTTCTTCTCTTATAAAATATTCATTTCAGTTCAATTCAGTTCAGTTCATTTCAGCTCAGTTCACTTCAGTTCAGTTCACTTCATTTCAGCTGAGTTCAGTCAATGAGAACAGGCCCTTAATACTTTAGAGTCGAGACATCCCTATCCTTGGCATTATTATTAGTTGCTTGTTTTCGACAATTTTACAAAATATCAAGGATAACTAATAAAGATAAAGACTTTGAAAATTTGAGTAAAGTAGATTTTTAATGCGAGACAAAAGGATCATTTTTTAATAAAACTAGATGTAAGCCCGTGCGATGCACAATTTTTTTGTATTTTATTTTGTATATTATTTTGTATATTATTTTGTAATTTCTTATTATCTTTTATATTAGAAGTAGAATATTTTTAAAAAATAATTAAAAAAATTAATTTTTTTTAATAGAATTAAAAAAATCTTTTGATCGATCTAAATGATTTTATTTAACCACCCGACGAATGAAATAATATTTTCATAGTTTATTTCAATTTAACAAATTCAAGTTTTGCATACTTGACTAATGAATAAGAATAATTAAAAAAAAAAAAACAAACTTAAGTTGATTTTTCTGTTTCGTATGCTCAACAAAAAATTATTCCAAAGCTTTACATAAACTTGTTTTTCCTAATAAATATTTCAATAAGAACATTAAAAAAATTACACATAAGCAAAATCTAAAAAAAATTATTAGATACACATAAATATATGTAAGAATATTATTAAAACCTAATAAAAAATATCGATATAATTGTTGCGAAATAGATCTAAAAATTGTAAATGTATAAAATCAAATCTATGCATTGGAATTTTTTCATCATTAATTATTGAATCATTATTTTGTTGTCGATATGACAACGCGATATTGCTTATTATTTGGAACGACTGAAAATTTTCTAATAGAGTAAACATTTCATAGTCTTCAATCAAGTTTGGACGAAAATGTTGAACACAATTGGCTTTAAATTGAGGTATGAACTTGTGTAATCACCCTAAAATTAAAAATAAGACATTAAATTAATTTAATAAGTTGATTATGCAATCCAAATCACAATATTTGTTTTTAAAAATACCTCTTCGTCCAATATTACCATATCCAGACTTATTAAGCTATTTTGTTTCCGGAAATTTAGTACATCAAACAGGTGAAAAACTCGTACTTTGAATTTTTAATCATTTTTGCTTGAATTTAATTCTCTAATCTGCATGTAAAAACGAAATTCATCAAACAAAACATAAACATATGAAATTAAGCTAAAAAGTACCCTACCATTGATGACCTAAAACTGACACAAAATTACCAATACAAAATTCTCTAGATGCGAATTTTGTATGAATATGAAATTTTGTTGGTGTCGTATATGTGTCAATTTATAACAGAAGGTATAAAAAAATTTAATTTAATTATGATTAATGAACAATTTTAATTTCTTATCATAAACACTATCAAAATTTATTTTATAATGATACTTTATCATTTAAATATAATTTTTTTTCAAAGGTATTATTTAGTATTTGTGATATAGTGTCACAAGCTAGATTACGTTGGTAAAATTTGTGCACTTTTCTTTTTAAGAATTTTTTTTTTAAAAAAATTATTATAAGACAAATAAAGATAATGATAGATGAAAATTATTATAAGATAAATAAAGATAATGATAAATAAAATTTGTGGTTTTTCATCCACGTGGCATTAAAATTTTATAAGATAAATATCATATCTTATTCGCTATTTTTACCTACGTGGCGATACAATTTTTTTATGTGGCATTAAAATTTTATAAGATAAATACCATATCTTATTCGCTACTTTAACCTATGTGGCGATACAATTATTTTATTCAAAATTAAAATACAAATCTAATTCATCATTGGACGAAATATTTATTTTTCTTATGTGGCGCCCCGAATGCTTTCGAAAAATGCCTACTTTATTTATATATATTAGATTGTAGAACGGCTATACGTGATGTGCGTGCCATATACAACTCGTCATATGGAGGCTCTTTTGATCTTATCTTATGTCACAACATCAGCGAGGGACAATATATAAAGAAATATTTCTAAGGGTATAAATGTTTGCACATAATTTTTAAAAGTTCAAAAAAAAAAAAAAGAAAAAAAAAAGAAAGAAGTCAATTTACATCCATCAATGAGGACAAATAATTGTTTTTTTTTTGAATAGCTGGGCAAATAATTGTTAAGTATTCATAGGGATATAAATATCCCCACACTATTAATAAGAGTTTACTTTTTTTTTTTTGGCTAAATATTAGGTTTAATAAAGGCAGAAAAATTTAGTTAACTTTTGGTTAGTTGTTTTGATTAGTCTAGTTCAAGAAAAATAAGATTTCATAAGGGTTATCCAATTTAAATTACAACAAAAATAAGTGTTAAT